GGGTTTTGGGTGAAAATCCCGCGGTTTTAGGGCGAAAATCGCGTCTTTTGCGGCGAAAAAACGGGTTTTTTACCAAAAAATTGGGTTTTTAAGTAACAATTTGGGGTTTTTTTGGTCAAAATTTGGATTTTGGGATGAGTTCGGGGTGATTCGTGAAAAATTTGGGGGTTTTAGGCAAAAATTGGGGAGTTTTAGGGCAAAATTTGGGGATTTTAGGTCAGAAATTGAAGTTTTTAAGCGTGAGGATGCCCCGAAGGGGCGTGGCCTAAGCGCAAAAGGGGCGGGGCTTAGAGCAGGAAGTGGGCGTGGCTTAGGCAGAACTGTGCCCAGGTTTTGTGACCCCGAAGTGGGCGTGGCTTAAGCACAAAGGGGTGGGGTTTAGAGCTCAAAGTGGGCGTGGCTTAGGTGTAACAGGGAGGGGTTTAGGACGCGAAGTGGGCGTGGTTTGAGCGGAAAGGGGCGGGGCTTAGAGCCAAGTGGGCGTGGCTTATGCATTATTGTGTGCGTTAATTATGCACCGAAGTGGGCGTGGCTTAGGTGTAATGGGGAGGTGTTTAGGACACGAAGTGGGCGTGGTTTGAGCGGAAAGGGGCGGGGCTTAGAGCCAAGTGGGCATGGCTTATGCATTATTGTGTGTGTGAATTATGCACCGAAGTGGGCGTGGCTTAAGCAGGAAAGGGGCGGGGTTTGGAACCCGAAGTGGGCGTGGCTTGAGCACAGAGGGGCGGGGTTTTGGGCCCAAAGTGGGTGTGGCTTAAGAAGGGAAGGGGCGGGGTTTGGGGCCCAAAGTGGGCGTGGCTTGAGCAGGAAAGGGGCGGGGTTTGGAACCCGAAGTGGGCCTGGCTTGAGCACAGAGGGGCGGGGTTTAGGGCCCAAAGTGGGCGTGGCTTAAGCAGGAAAGGGGCGGCGTTTGGGGACCAAAGTGGGTGTGGCTTGAGCACAAAGGGGCGGGGTTTAGAACCCAAGGTGGGCGTGGCTTCTGCAGGATTATGCGCGTAAAAGACGCACCAAAGTGGGCGTGGCTTAAGGGCAAAAGGGGCGTGGTTTGGAACCCCAAGTGGGCGTGGCTTGAGCGCAGAGGGGCGGGGTTTAGGGCCCAAAGTGGGCCTGGCTTGAGCAGGAAAGGGGCGGGGTTTGGGGCCCAAAGTGGGCGTGGCTTAAGCAGGAAAGGGGCGGCGTTTGGGGACCAAAGTGGGTGTGGCTTGAGCACAAAGGGGCGGGGTTTAGAACCCAAGGTGGGCGTGGCTTCTGCATGATTATGCGCCTAAAATACGCACCAAAGTGGGCGTGGCTTAAGGGCAAAAGGGGCGTGGTTTGGAACCCAAAGTGGGCGTGGCTTAAGCACAAAAGGGGCGGGGTTTAGAGCTCAGAGTGGGCGTGGCTTAAGGGCAAAGGGGCGGGGTTTAGGACCCAAAGTGGGCGTGGCTTAGGCACAAAAGGGGTGGGGCTTGGAGCTTAAAGTGGGCGTGTCTGGGGCAGGAAGTGGGCGTGGCTTATGCGTAATTAGATCCTCGATTGCGACCCAAAGTGGGCGTGGGTTAAGCACAAAGGGGGCGGGGTTTAAAGCCCAAAGTGGGCGTGGTTTAAGACCGGAAGTGGGCACGTTTGGACAGGAAGTGGGCGTGGCTTGTGGCCGAAAGTCTGCATTCGAGACAGGAAGTGGGTGTGGTTTGTGACCGGAAGTGGGCGTGGCTTGTGACAGGAAGTGGATCCCTTTAGACCGGAAGTGAGTACGTTCGGCCCGGAAGTGGGCGTAATTTATGACCGGAAGTGGGCGTGGCTTGTGACAGGAAGCAGATCCGTTTAGACCGGAAGTGGGCGTGGATTTATGACCGGAAGTGCGTGCGTTTGGCCCGGAAGTGGGCGTGGTTTCTGGCCGGAAGTGGGCGTGGCTTGTGACAGGAAGTATGTGAAACTGGGCAGGAAGTGGGCGTGTTTTCAGACCGGAAGTGGGCGTGGTTTGTGACAGGAAGTATGTGTAACTAGGCCGGGAGTAGGCGTGGTTTCTGACCGGAAGTGGGCGGGGTTTCATCCCGGAAGTGGGCGTGTCTCACCTTGATGGGGCGGGGCAGCTCCGGCTCCCGGCGGCGCAGCAGCAGCAGCCCGGCCACGGTGACGCCGTACCACAGGTAATTAACGAAGCCCACGTAATTAATCAGCGTGTAAATGTCGCCCGTCACCAGCATCAGCAGCGTGGAGACGCACTGGGGGGGGGGAAAGGGGGCGGGGCCGCGGCTCAGGCCACGCCCACTTCCGGCCACGCCCCTCCCCCACCCCAACAAAACCCAAATCTGGGGTTTTTTCCCTCCGATTTTTGCCGTTTTTTTTTTCATTTTCCAGGTTTTTCCTCAAATTCCCGGAATTCTTCACATTCCAAGAATTTTTCCTTTCTTTTCCCCTTTTCCCTCCGTTTTTTTCTCAGTTCTTCCCATTTATTTCCCAATTCTTTTCTCGTTTTTTTTTCCGTTTTTCCCCCCTTTTTTCCTTTTTTTTCCCGTTTTTCCCCATTTTTTCCCATTTTTTCCCATTTTCTCCCATTTTTCCCACATTTCCCCATTTTTGTCCCATTTTTGTCCCATTTTTTCCCTATTTTCCCCATTTTTTACTCATTTTTTTCCCATTTATTCCCCATTTTTTGTCCAATTTTCACCCAATTTTTTTCCCATTTTTCCCCCATTTTTTCACCGTTTTTTTCCTTTTTTTCCTCCCAAATCCCATTTTTTTTCCCAAAATTCCCCTTTTTCACCCCAAACCCCCATTTTTTACCCCCAAAATCCCCATTTTTTCCCATTTCTCCCCCATTTTTCATCGGATTTTCCCCATTTCTTCGCCGTTCTTTCCCAAATTTTCACCATTTTTCCCAAAATCCC